CAATATATAGAAAAATGAGCATTTTATTACTTCAATGCAGACTATTAGTTATTGTAATTGTCTCATACTCCAATTAATTTGTAATTAATTGGTAGATTAATTACTTTTCCAATTAATAAATTAATTGACAAATTTATTAATTAATTATTAATTGAATAATTTTTAATTAATTATTAATTAATTAATTAATTAATTATTAGTTGATTAATTATTAGTTGATTAATTATTAATTACTTATTAATTGATTAATTAATTGATTTACAATTGCATACTCTAATTATTTCAGAAAAAAATTCTTAAAATTTTAAAAAGTTTGATGTCAATTTTTTTTTTAATTAGCCTAACAGGTTTTTCGGAAAAACTACAGATATATAAAATTTTCGAAATCAATTTTGACAATAAATATGCATTATATAGTACGTGAAAGTAACACAAAAATTAATTGGAGTATGAGGTAATTACAATGACTAATAGTCTGCATTAAAGTAATAAAATACCGATTTTTCTATATGTTGAATAATTTTTTCTCTCTCATAGGACCTTCTATGGGCCGAAACGAATGTTGCCCCCTAAAAAGTTTATTTCAAAATTGGCGAGTCACACTTCCCTAGTTTCCCTTGTGAGTCTGCTGCGAGAATATCACAGAACGTGCTTAGCCACGCTGAATAAGCGCTCCACGGGACGTCAAGGTATTTAAACACGAAGTTAGCTCTGAATGCATATATATTGCAGATTAATTTTATAAATTAAAAAAACCTAAGTACTTTTTTTAATTAAATTTTTTTTTTTAGAAAGCTTACCGAGTTTCAGAAAAAAGTAACGATTTCATTCGACATTTCCGTTACAAATACTTGTACTTTTTCCCTAAAAAAGTAACGAAAGTGCAAGTAAAAGTACGTACTTTTTACTTGTACCGGCCGTACAAGTAACGAAAGTAAAAGTACTGCCATATAGGGTTCGAAGTAGCGGCGAATATAAAAAGAATTATGAATTGAAGACTAGTAGATGATTTTTAAATTTGCTTTGTAAATCCAACTTCGTTCCGTGTGGTCTTTGGCACCATTTATATTGTAGGGATTTCATTATCGACTATGTCACCCTTCTTCTATCAAAAGGTACCTCAAGATAGAATCAAGTTAACATTGTCTTATATACTAGTGAATTGGTATTTAATAGTTTATAGTGGTAGTTACGCCACAGTACTCCCAGACTTTTATCTGTGATAGAATTCGATGAACGGATAACATTAGTTGATTCATGCTGTTTTATTTATTTATGACATTTGTGCTCATTATATTTCTTCATTTTTTCTTCATTTGTTTTGTTTATAACACTTCGCTCCTTTTCTTTTCTTCATTTTTTGTTTACAGCATTTCGCACATTTTTTTCCTATATTGTTTATTACCGGGAGACTTTATTTACTTCACCGGATATTTTTTTGTTTTTTTGAGCAGTTTATATTAAGCAAATCAACTGTTTAATATGGACCATCCATCATGTTAGCGAGTTCATATCACGTCGGGAGGTCACCATTGAGGGGATTTAATTACAGACTATGTCAACCTTCATCTATCAAAAGGTACCTCAAGATAGAATCAAATTAACATTGTCTTATAAACAAGTGATTTTGGTATTTAATACTTGTGGTGGTAGTTACGCCACAATATCAAGGAAATGGTTTTTGATATTAAGAAACATTAGTTTTGATAGCTAGATGAAATTTATTTTGTTGAAGAGGTTTGATTAGCATAACATTCGATGAATTTACCATTCGTTGAGGAGGAGGATGATAAGTGTCCATATATTATTCCAGTCGGATGTAGGCAAGCAATTATTTAGCAAAAGTCATAAATTGTTTAATAAAGAATCAGATTATAATAAATAAAAATGTTTTATTTTTGAAATGTATGTGCAATCATATGGAGCACCAAAGTAAAAAAAAAATATCCATGCATATTAATTAATAAATTTAGAAAACAGCACGGATGGTGCGACTGCAGGGTCAAGCCCCACAAGTCACCTCCATCCATCAAGAAATCAAAAATGTAAGTGTAACGCGTACGTTGAAATAGTTTTCGCCAAGGAAAATTAAGAAATCCATGTATTGGCCATTAATTGGTTAAATTTAATGCCGAGGCTCTTTTTCTTAGCCTTACGCATACAAACGTGTAGGCGGAAAAGAAAGCGAGAGAAATAATAACGAATTTAATGAAATCAAAACATTAGCAAGCCTTTAACGATTTTCGAATTCCACGCTAAAGTGTTAGGCAGAAGTAGGTGGAATCTCTAAAAATAGATTTTATTTTGCCCTCAATTCATGGTTGTGGTATACAAAGATTACAGATTTATATTAATAATTTTTATTTATTGAAAAAGGATTTTTTAAATGATAGGAAATATGTTATGCATATTTCAGCATCACAAAGATTATTGAAAAAATTCAGTAAAAAAGCATAATTTTACAAATATATTTAAATTAAAATCAGTTTAACGAATCTTAAATCAAGCCGGGGATAGAATTCGTATCAACCAGCCAACGCCGGGATTCGAACCTCGTATCATTGGTATGGCGGTAAAAGGTACCTAATATTATAGGTTCTACAGTATTATGTTTTTTACCCTCAAACGGAAAAGTACCTCTTTTGTCCTCTTTGTATCAAAGATATGCGGAAGACAAGAATGTCATCTCCCATCAATTTTTAAAAATGAGTCCGTTTTGTACCGAAAAATGTTGAATGCAACAATATGTCAAACTTAATCTAAAGAAAATGAACTTATAAACAACTATTGCAGGTAACAAAATGAATAAGAGTTAGAAAGTATATGATCGGCACAAAAACAAAAGGGAGAAAAACATCGAGGAAGCAAACACTGTAGGAAAAAAGGTTAGTTATGGCAACCCAGGAGAGTATACCTCATGTTTATTTATTACACCTGAGAAAATTTTGATTCTTTGTCCAATTAAATTATACAGTTTAATCTACACTGCTTGGAGAGTTTTGTAATCAATTCTAGAACATGTAATATGTTCTATAACACGTCACGAAAAGAGTCGAATCTAAATTAGTTTTCAACATTTGCCGGCCAAGTGACCGAGCGGTTAGCGCGCCTGACTGCGAAGCCAATGGCCACGGGTTCGAATCCTGCTCTGGGCATGGATGTTTCTCTCTTGTGTTGTCCTCTGTTGTGCGTGATGTGTGAATGTGTCCCACCCTATGAACGGGTTTGTGGCACTGTGGCGTGGGCAATGTTACTCGCCTCCGTGACTTTTTTCTTTCTTTTCTTCCAGACTTGGACATGTACCTAGGTTTGCAAAACCCTTAACCGTATAGTCCACGTCTGGACGACATTCTATCTCGCACAAAACTCGGCACATAAGTAAACCATTACAAAATTCATAACTGCACAATACAGATGACAATAAAGATGACAATAACGCCTCCGTGACTTTGGTTCACAGGTGCCCACTGGGTAACGCGAAATGAGTAACACATCTGGCATCTTCTAAGGCGAAACGAATAAAGTTCAGTACCTGCCATTCGAAAAATTTTTTTAAACATTTAATTAATAATTTGTTTCATTATATGGCATAGAAAAAGTCAAATAAAGTTATCGCTCTCTTCTACTTTACTTCATGGATGAAATCAAATCTAAATTGATTTCAACCATTTCATTAATCTGTTCCATATGTCATAGAGAAAGTCAAATCTAATTATTGATCTCTTCTACTTTACGGCATGGATGAAATCAAATCTAAATTGATTTCCTCCATTTCACTAATCTGTTCTATATGTCATAAAAAAGTTCGGATCTAAATGTTATTCCATCCATAAATTAGTAATCTTTTGTATTATGTGACATTAAAAAAGCTGAATCTAAAAGATTTTTGACAGAAAAAAATTAAATGAAAATTTAATATTTCTGTACTCACCGGCCACCAGTTGTATTCTGCCTATGAGCATGGCCACTAACTGTCTATTCTTTTTACCAACGATCCACACATTGCAGAAAGCTAGAATAGAGCACCAGGTCAGTAGGACGCAGCCACTTCCAAACAGTACGTAAGAAGTCTGCCATGAACTCGATGGAAAGTCCTCATCAAAGTTCCTACACTGCAATTCTTCTAAACTGCCTTTCAATTGTCCGCGGTGGCACACAGACACCATCCCCAGGGTGGTAACAAGTTCATCCCGGTCGTATTTTAGAATGTCTGTCTTCCCTTGTGTCTCTCGAACAAACCACTCTGGATGCACATAGGCAGCTGTTGCCAGTGTGGACACGAGCCATGACAGGAGAATCCAGAGGATCGTCACTGGCCACGAAGTTACTAGTTCGACATGCACCACGGTGCAAGGGGATGTATGGGAACCAAAAAATTGCGGTTTGGTGTTGCTGTTATGCTTGCATTGGTGTCTGCACACTTTGACCTGCATTGTTCAAAAATAAGTGTGGAGATTCACATGGTTTTTTGTTCCAAACGTTACCACAAATTCCAAATTTTTTCTGAATAATGTAGTTTCTACTATTGCTTTAAATAAGGCAATAAAAAGCTTAAGCTCTTACATGCTTTCATCTGGCATTATCAGATAATTATCAAGCAGTCTTCTTGTAGCCTGTAAAAATATAAAAAATGCTAATATAAGTTACAAGAAATAGTAAAATAATGATGTACAGTGTGCAGTCAAAACAATTTTGAATTATAAGGTATACAATTACTTTATTTTAAAGAATTTAATTTTACATGGAAAATTCAAAATTTGAGAGAAAACCGTCTTGCAGTTTCTGAGTTCGAACTATTATATACAATGACAAAAAATAATAAATTATTATAAAAAAAATTTTTGCCTTTCATTATCTTTGAATAGACTAACTTTATATTTGTGTTCAAAAATGTTTCGATTTGCTTAAAAATTTCTAAAGATATAGGCAANTATTATATACAATGACAAAAAATAATAAATTATTATAAAAAATTTTTTTTGCCTTTAATTATCTTTGAATAGACTAACTTTATATTTGTGTTCAAAAATGTTTCGATTTGCTTCAAAAAGTAAAATTAACATTAAATGGTCTAGAATTCGGTTCGCTCTCCTGACCAAACTATTGGGATCCTAGTACCCAGATTACGGTTAACCCCTATATTTGGGGCCAGAAATTTAAAAACGCAGAAAAAATGAATGTTCATTCAAAGAAAGTACATTTTTGTATTTAAATTTGTAATTGAAAATATTGTCTGGAATAATTAATTAGCATATTTGAGTCCCCCACCTCGAACCATTAAGACTAAGAACAGGAAGATCGAATCATTATATCAATAGTTATTTAAGATGGTTCATTTTTTGCGTATTGTACAAAGGAATAAAAGTTTTCAATAATTTTTGTTAAATGTATTTTTAATTACAGTCGTTAAACAAGCTACCCGCTGCTGCTTTTCAATGAATAAATTTGAAGTATTAGTGCCGTATCCCAGTCATTTTGAAACTAACCCATAGAACAAGGAGATTTCTAATTAAATAAAAACTACTTATAGTTAGTTAGACAGAATTGGTACGCTTTTTAATACTGCTGTAGAAAAAATTTTGTTGTCGCTATGAAATTTAATCAGCTATTGCAGGGCTATTAATGATATCAAATGATATTTAGAGAGGAACGAACACAACATCTCATTGAATACAACAACATTGAAATCAAATGAAATAAACACTGGATTAAACAATTCAGCGTATTGTTTTCTAATCAGAATTGACCGGTGACTCTCCTTATAGCGCTTTCGCAGAGGACGCAATACGTTGATAAGTTGAAAGTCAAGGTAAATCGTAAAAATATTGATTCAAATTCAGCACTGAAATCAACTAGCGTCCTCTACAAAAGCTCGGCAAGATTTTAGACGTCAAATCCACTCTCTGCCAAGATCCACTTTAACCCTTAAATGTGTCGTACAATCTACCTGAAACCTCAGATAAGAACCCATAAGCATAAAAAAAGTGCAGACCTTATGTTAGAAAACAACGAGAAGTATTATAGAACATACTGCTTGCCATCAAGAAACCATTTAATAGTAAACTAACACAGATTCACCGACTTCTGATTTGCGAGTTATTATTACCTAGGAAATCGGATACACTACACTATAATAATAAAAGTCACACTTTCAATTTTTGACATTTTTTTTAAAAACACTTTGCAAGAAATAGAGAATTAATTTATAACTTTAGAGGTACTTGGGTTATACATTTTTTCATACTTATATCAACAAAATTGAAAGTTTTCAGAGACTTGAGGAACCAGCAATATATTACGAGCGAAAAAGAATATTTTTAAACACCCTATACCAAAAAATTTAGTGATAAGCCTGTACTTTGGTTATAATATACAATAACTGCATAAAAGTTCGTAAGCCTAGATTTATAGAGATATGGACAATTTTTTAAGGAAACTAATTGTTTTGTTTTGCGTTTTCTTATAAACTCATGTTTGTGAAAATTGCAACACCATGAAGTAATCGTCATAATTAAATGAAATTTTATACTCAGCTGACTAGTAGTAGTACAAATAAATGATTAAACTTTCAAAGTAAACAAACAATAACAAGAGATCAAAATCAGCATTTTGTGTAACCACCACGAGCCGCAATAAGTGCTGCTACACGACGTGGCATGGACTCAAACANACTGGTAGTAGTACAAATAAATGATTAAACTTTCAAAGTAAACAAACAATAACAAGAGATCAATATCAGTATTTTGTGTAACCACCACACGCAGCAATAAGTGCTGCTACACGACGTGGCATGGAGTCAAACAAATTTTGAATGTCTGTCTGAGGAAGAGCATTCCATATTGTTTGTATGTGTACCCAAAGTTCATCTGTAGAAGCAAGAGGACGAGGATCACGAGTGAGACGCCGATCAGCGAAATCCCACGCATGTTTAATCGGCGACATATTCGGGGAATACGCAGACGGCCAAGGAAGAAGCTGCACCTGCCTCGATGCAAGGAAGGATTGAGCAGTCCTAGCAATATGAGGGTGGGCATTGTCCTGTTGAAATGCAGCGCCTGCCAAGGCTTGAAGGAGGGGAACAGCTTGAGGCTGTAGAACTTCACTGATGTACCGGTAGCTGTTCAGATAACCTACCTATATACAGACTATCGTCGCGAGCTGACGTGATATTTCGGGGTCCACTCACTCCCGGATTTCCGAGTTGTCTGACACTCGTTCGTCCACTGCTTCCAAGCACGCATCACTGTGCTGCTGTTACGCTGCACACGAGCGGCATCTGTACAATAAAATAATCCAGCTTCCCGAATGCCGATGAGTCTCCCCGGTTCAAACTCCGTAAGTTGTTGAAAACTCGCTCTCTTTCGTCGAAGAGACATAAGCAACGACTAAGCTAACGTTTACCAGAAGCAGATTACCACCGATAACCATACACGCCTCGCTACAGCCGTCCATTTATTCGGATCCATCAGCCGTTCAGAGGGCGCTGCTCAGCATGCGCATGCGCTACGGGTCTGAAATTCTAATCATTTGCATACCATGCTCTACTTTGCATTTCCTAAAAATTTCAGCTCACTCGCATAAGTCCTTCATGGTGTTGCAATTTTCACAAACATGAGTTTATATAACGGTAAAAATAGTCAATAAATTAAATGAAATTTTTGGAATAATTAAAATACTACTTGAAAAAAAAATCGTTGAAAATTGTGTAAGTTATAAGCCTGCAAAGCAGACTAATTTTTTTGAGGGGTGTGTCGTCCAATTAAGCCCCTTTGAATTAACGTACAAAAGAACAGTGTTTACTTTCGCCTGCCTTCATTGGAATAGAAAAAAGTTTAGAAAGATCACCATAACTACTCTATAGAATGTCTTCATTAGCTCTTCGTAAACACTACAGCCGATTAATAACAAAGACCACGTTAGTCAGTTTCCATCATTTTGTATTCGACACCACTGTGAACCATTTATTCGAATCTTCCTTTTACACAATTTAATCCACCA